ATACTTGTGAGAGTGCATTTCTCTTTATAAAAAAAAAAATATTTTTGAGTATTTTTCTCTAAATTAAATCTCACTCAAGCTTAATAAAGAATGCTTGTGACTCAAAAAGCTAGGTAAATGATAAGTTTTTAAAAAATTGTAAAATAATTATAACACTGGTCTTGAGAGGCTTGGAATTTTTACATCTGATCTTGCGCTCATTTCACCTGTCGGATCCACAGAAACTTTATCAGTAGATTTATTCAGTAAAAGTAAAGCAAATTTGAAATAAGGGTAATTTCGCATTTGGTAAATCTCTACAGCCATCCTCTTGTCTAGAAAAGTGTGTCCATAACTATAGATTTATCAACCCTGTATTATTATGGTGTATAACATACTGTATCAATAACATGTTATAGGTGAACTGCTGCGTTTTTAAACCAACATAAGTTTCATTAAATTGGTACTGGTTTGTACACACAACACACAAAGCTTTGGCTTGCAGAGAATATCAGATAATAAATCTATTAACGGTGAAATTTCTGTCTTGATGTTTATTGTGTTCAAGAGAAAACATTTATCATGTGTCCCACTTTCATCATTAACACTTAAGACATTGAACAGCTCATTATGCTGTAAGTTGTACTAAGCTGTTGCATGAAATCATAAATTTAAATTTGAGGCATCATAGGCATTTGAAGATTTTTTAAATTCTGGATCTTTGATTATGATGCAGGTATTTTTATTCTTCTGATTTTAAAAGAAAAATAAGCTAACAAATAATCTTAAAGAAGCATATTTCAAATACTGAATTATGGAGAAAATAATACCTGTTTAATACAAAAGAAACACATGAAACACAAACTTGAAAAAAGACTATTTACATTTACAATGTTTTTATTACATGAACTAGATCTGAATTTCAATCAAATGAACTTCTAACCTGATTTTTAGTGTTTAAAAAGTTATGAAATTACAATAGAACCTGCAGAAAAAAATACAATGAAATTCTATTGAACATTACATAACACAGTAAACCAGGTCTGACTGTTAAAATAACTGAAAAAAAAAAAATCAAGTATATGATGAAGATACAAAGCAAAGGATATGGCTGCATCAAATTTAGTAATTTACACAAATTTCATTAAAAAAAATATATATATTTTTATATAATTTTTATTTGTCAACCAAAAAATGTAAAAAAAATTCTAAAATTAATGTTCAGATTGCAGCCCATTTAAAGAAGAGATATTTTTAGGCCAACATAAGTATGAAAATAAAGTGTTTTTACTACCTAGAACATTTTTTAAACTTGTGTCTGTATTTGCAAAACCAACATACATCCAAAATAAAATTAGAAGATCTTTGTATACATGCTCTTTAAAACAAGAAAACAATCTTTTGAAAACACACTTAGAATAGGTATAGTGTGAAGAAGAGATTGAGAACTCAAGAATAACTTAAAACTTTTCAAGATATTCAAAAAAATGTGTCAAAAATGTATTTTGTTAGATCTAGCTGTGCAAAAAGCTAGACATAGCTTTTCTGAAAACAAATTGGCGAAACCAAAAAACAAAGCTATCACACTAAAGCGCACAAACATGCTAGAGAAAAATTAATTTAAAATTTTTTTTTTTAGAGATATGAATTTGACTGCTCCTGGGATTCAGTTTCAAATTGCCCATTGCATTGGTAAGGATTCTAATTTAATTCTTGTCGTGTTTTTTCCCTTTGAGCAGTCAACATTAAATATAAAAGATTCTAACTTCACCTGCTCTAAGACTCACCATTCCTGTCAACCCATGAGATAAAATCATGTGCCCAAAAACCTAAATGAACTTTCAAAAATGGATACTAAAAAATGTGAATTATTTATTTTGTTAATTTTGCTACCATTTACGACAGATAATTATATTTTATTTTTTAAAAAAAAGAAGCTTTGTCAAGGTTTAAATCTAAATGCATTAGGTTTGAACGCTGAAATTGTTATGAACACTGTCGGACAAATGAGGCATCTTAATTGTTCTTTCTAATTATAGGTAGAATCTTTTTTATTTTTGAACAGTTTCCTGTTATCTTTCATTCATTGTGAAAATTGACCAAAGTATTGCTGGCTATTAAATTTCAAATTAACAATTATTTCTCAAGATAAAAATTAACACTAAATTATGGCTTGAATGTTTACATTAATGTTTTTTTTCTTTTAGTTTCAGATGCCCTGAATCCCTTTTCCGATCGATTGCATAGATAAATTTATATATTTCTGTCAGTTAAATTCAACCTTACAAAGGAACTGTTCTACATTTTGTTGTGATTCAATGTTTAAAAATAAAATAATTGAATTTCAATTTAATTAATAGTTACAAACTTTCGGCAGTTTGATAAATGAGAAAAATAATAAGATACAACCATCCCATACAAGTTGATAGGTATGCTTGGTTTCTTAAGTTTGTTTTGTTTAAAATACATTCAATGCTTCTGTTTTGTGACAGCAGATTATTCCAGTCTTTCAACAATAAAATAAGTCTTTGAAATTACTTTATAGTGATTGACAATATAGAAATTACTCTAACACACAACTTGTAGTGGTCATATATTTGAATGAAACTTGACCCACTTTGCATCTTTTGGGCCAATGGCATATATTACGGTTTTAAAAAAAAACAAAGTGCCATATTATATTTGACTTTATAGATAAGGATTTTCTTACATGATCCACCTTGCTGTAGCAAGACCAACACAATTCAGAACAAGTGGTAATAAGACACAGAAGATACTTGAAAAGAAATAAAAATAAACATCATACAATAACAAAACAACTATATGAATATGCATTGGTACATTTGAGAAATATATTTTTCTTAAAGTGCTTTGCTCCAGGTACAAGAATCATCATGAAATATGATGGATTTATCAAAAATATATTGTTAAACAAAAGTGGGAATAGAGAGCCATATAAAAGTATAAATCAAGTATTCCACTAACTTATAAATGTATGTGTACATCAGGTGATGAATTTAGAAAAAAATCAGTAAAATAAGCATCACTAACAGTATTGCACTTTGTACAATGAAAATTAAACAAAGAGAAATTAAAAAAATTAAAGGAATGAATAATAAAAACAACCATAGTAGATTTTTTTTGTCAGACATTTAGAACTTGTGCAGTGTCTAACTCTCTTTTGAACTTATATTTTGTGCTATTTTAACATAAGATAGTGCAACAGTAAAAAAAATTAAAATGTGTTGGTAAATAAACAAAAACAAAATTTCACCTAGAATAGGTAAGCTTTTCTTTTAAGAATGAAAGTGAAATAAATGAAATTCTTAATGAGAAAATCTCTTTATCATAGCTATAATGAAATTTAAATATTTTACTTAATTTAAATATAATTTATTAACTTGTAAAGATACATGTATATTTGCATGTTCTTTAATTATGCAGTTACATTTTATTAATTTTTTTATTTTCCAAATCAGATTTGATTCTCCATTTAATTTTCACAAAAAAAGTTCATAGCACAATTGAAAATATTTAAACTAGTATGTAATATGCATGTTAGGACAAGTCAAGCATAGATACAATTTTTTTTAAGTTGGAAAGTCAAAAAACAAAAATTTTCAAAGTTAATTCATATGTCACCGGGCAATCAGTAGAGTATCATAAACATACCATTTTTATCAAAGTGTGTAATATTTACATTTGTAAACTCCAGGTTTAGCAATAAAATTTAACAGGAAAAAAACAACTTAAGTAATAACTGCTATGGTATATAACATTCTAAATCCCTGCAAATAATAAAAACAACTTATTATATACCCAAGCTTTTGTATCCCACTTTTTGTAGAAGCTTTCTTTGACACCAAAAGCAGGTGGAGACATGAATTATCTGTAAGTATGCTCTAGTAACATATCCCTACATGAGATATAGAAACTGGCTTGGACTTGTTGAAGGATGTTCCAGTTACTTAACGGGAAAAACTACCAAAAATGTAAATAAGGTTTTGGTAGATTTTACTCCAATTTCACTAAATGTTGTTATGTTTATTATGATTCTTGTGCAATAGCCCAAAAAAAAAAAAAATGAAATGTGTCATTTTTGTAAATGTATTATAAAAAAGATATTTTCTAAATCACACATTTCATGATTATGTTTTGTACCGGTACTTATGAAGAGGATTATTGTATCAAAGAACTATTTATCCAAATTAAAAAAATTGATTGATTTCATTTTGTTGATCCTTATGGAACTAGTGGAATGTTTTTTGGACAATCAATGCCTCAAAACGTAAAATAAAATTATGTATATTGGTGTATATGTGTGTGTGTGTATGTATGTATATATATATAATATATGCATGCAGCCACAAATAATTCAGTTTGAACAAATAAATGTCAACTATTTAGGACACTTGTTTGATTGCGAGAATATAACACATACATAGGATTTCTTTAGTGGGGACAAAGCCTGTTACAAGATATTTTTTTTAAAAACATCTTATTTAGATGTCTTAAATGAAGAAAATATTGAGAAAACAAAACAATAATAAAACAATTTCCAATGTATGCTTCAAAAAAGAAATACAGATCCTTGTCAGGTGTAGCAGTGGAGTTTCTTTTTTGTCCCTTATATGTATCAATTTATTTATTTATAAAAGGATTTTAAAATTAATATTCAAATGGTGGATGAATTAGAGAGAGCTTAACTGAAATTAAAATAAAACAGTATTCAAAGTCATCAATCAACAACTAGTCCTACTAGTTTGTAAAATTTGCAGTCTCAAAAATGTAGGGGTTCAAAAAACAAAACAAAATTACATTTGAGTAGTACACAGCACCCAGTTTATAATCTGATTTGTTTTCTTTTTACTTTAACTTTTGGATGATTAGTCAAGCCGAAGCCCATAGTTGCAGACTTTTGAACTCTACAATAGGTATCACATTTTGAGTTTCAACACTGCTGGTTTATTATATATATATTTATGTATGTATGTACCTGATATATAATATAAATATATTATGTACATTAATATAAATCTAACAGCTATGTTATATAATTATTTTTAAAAGCCTTGGCTACAAAATTAACATCAACAAGCACGCATTATAATATTCACAATTTGTTTGTTTGTCTAAGCTGAACAAACCAAGTTGACAATGCATGAGTGGGAAAATTATTCAAAACTACCATGTCGCACAATATCACAAAACAAAACTTTTCTCAGAAAAAATATTATTATAATGAACAACTGTACTTTTCCCAAAGGAAAACAGCCTGCTCTGGTGTTTTAATTTAAAAATATTAAAACACCAGTAAACCAAACCATGAAACTTTACCCTCACAAGTTGGTCTTTTCTCTTCTGTTTTTTTTATAAAACAACCAACACAAGACCAACTTTCAACAGGAGTTTGCAGACAATGGTGTAATGAAAATAAAATGCCGCAGACAGAATAGCTGCAAGGGCCACAACAAGGATCCCAACTTGGAACCAAAGCAGCATGGGTACTGCTTTAAAAAACTTTTAGCCACAACTCTTGGCTGACAGACATCAACTGTAGGATGTGTCTAGAGGCTCTACTTTGACTGCATGACTCACTGTGTTGGCATAGCAGTGCCTGAATCCTGAGAAATTTCTCTCTCCAGGACGTTTGATAAGTGGAGAATTCTGGAGGATTTCTTGATGGTACCGGAGAGAATCTGCCAGACGGTCCGCTCTTGCTCGCTTAGCTTCCAGCGACTCCATTTTCTTTAAAGGTTTCATCGAAAGATTAGTGGCTTGATTATCATCATGGTCTCGTTTGACTGTGAGGTTTTCGGGGTACATTCCTGTGTCTAGGACATGAGCTTGCCTCTTGAGGACTGGTGTTCCTGTGCTTGACACTCGTTTAAGCATGACTCCCTCTGGCAATGCAGGGGGCGTGTCTAGGCATCCAACAGACTTATTCCTGTGGTCCTTGAAATGTTCCCTTGCACTTAGAGTAGTAACAATAGGGGTGTGGGCAGCTGGAATAGTCACCATCACTGGATGAGGCTGATGCTGCAGTACAGTTAGCTGGTGCTTGCTCTGAGACTCAGATGTGACATGGTAATTGTTGCAAAAAGTAGAGATTGAACTGCTGCTGCTCAGGCTGCTTCGCTGCTTTGATTTTCTATTATTTGTACCTAGAGTAGCCACAACTTCAGCTACATCCATTTCATTCTCTGAGCAGAAGATCCTCTCGGGCAGTGATTCTTGGTTAAAGATAGGACCTCGCTTTTTATGCAACATCACCTGGAGATTCTCTGGGACACCTGTAACTAGCATGGTATCTTGGGTGGGTATGCTTATCTTCATAGGCCCAAACTCCTCAGAGGAACAATATACACCTGCAACATGACTAAATTCAACTTGCTTGATTGTGGTGCCTGTCATCTCTGATAGATCATGCTTTTCCATCAATGGGTCACCAGTCAGAGAGGATTCTTTTTTCAGCCGCTGTCGCTTCTCAGATAGATCCAGACTGCTTGACTTTTTAAAAGTGGGATCAGGAGTGCCATTGCGAGAGGGAATACCATTTCTGTCCACCATAATGTCATCTGGAATGGGCTCTACATTACTTTTGTCAACAGGGCTGCATAAAACAATTAATTCTGAAAACAGCAAAAACAAACAATTAGTGGGAATTTTTAATAAATAGCCTCATTACTTTATTCAAAGTAAAAATTGTGTTTACTTGTAGATCAACAGCACCAACATTTCTTAGAAATTCAATCCTAATTAATCTTAGCATCATAAATAGTGTGCAACATTATAATCAGATTCTTTGTCACTATATCCTACCTCCAGCACTATACTGAACTCGGACTGTTTTAAGCCAATCCACAAACTTCTGAATATCTTTGACCATCAGACCTCGTATTAGATCAAGCACTTGAGTCTTTGCCTGCATAAGACCTGCAACAAATTTATTTTTTTAATCATTAAAAATAAAACACACTTATCTCAGGCACGTTTATCATATAAAGCATGGTCTGGACCATACAAATCTAAACGACTATGAAATTTTTAAAAATATTAAATTTAATAGCAAAAAAAAAAAAAAAAGCTAGGAGTAGAACAAATTTTACAGCAAATAGGCAATATGCATCCTTGTATAATAAGTCACAGGGTAAGCATTCACTTAGTCTAGCTCAGTGGTGGAAAAAATAAAACACACTTATCTCAGGCACGTTTATCATATAAAGCATGGTCTGGACCATACAAATCTAAACGACTATGAAATTTTTAAAAATATTAAATTTAAAAGCAAAAAAAAAAAAAAAGCTAGGAGTAGAACAAATTTTACAGCAAATAGGCAATATGCATCCTTGTATAATAAGTCACAGGGTAAGCATTCACTTAGTCTAGCTCAGTGGTGGTAAATTTATAGCATTCAAGATGCAGGGGGCACACAGTCCTTTCTCCCAGCATGCCTTTGCGATGAACAAGTGGATTTTGGGTTGCAGTTTGGACACACTTTCTCTAAAAGGTTCACCATCACTGATATAGGTCATTCGAATGAAATAACTCCATAAAACCTTTATTAAATTTACATGTGGGATAAAGGAGCTTATTGGATTGCAAACTGCCAATTAAAGTGATTAAATTCTTTTAAATAAAAAGCAGAAAAGATGATGAAAGTCTAGTCCAACAAATGTACAGGAAACAAAAACACAACTAGAAATGCAGGCCTATGTCTTGTGTACTTTAGACACAGGAAGTAGAACAATGACAAAAACAGCATTATTAATTCCTAAATAGATACTTCAGCAAGAAAAAAATGTAGATTGTTTTAAATAATATGAATCTCAGTTTTCTGTGACCTTAATCTGACATTCCAATAATTTTACGAATCGATAGTTTTAATTTATACAAATAAAGTATACAAATAAAGTCTAGCTCTCAATTCTTTTTTTTCTATAATATACAAATATGCAATTATGCATATGAAAAAATAAAAAATGCTGAATGTAACATATTACAATGAAGCTGTGTTTATTATCTTATTTTTTAATTTTTTTTTTTTAAATGTAGATCAAATTTAATATGTTAAATCTGAAACTGACACTAACAGGATAAGAGTATAATAAAAAAAATTTTTTTTCAAATACTGCTCAAGGTAGACTTAAAATGGCTTCATATATGAATTATTGTTTAACATTACCATAGATTTCTCAACCATGCCAGTCTTTTATACAAAAACTTTTTTTCTTTTGTTAATTACTCAGTATCAAAAATTCCTCTCTTGGGCAAGGATGGTGCAGCAGGGAAAAAATCCAATAATGTGAGGGGGAAAAATCAATAGAACCATTTCAGGCAATGACGCAAGTAGCTAGTGACATCCTCACAAAAACTAACTGAAAAATTATTGTCAATTGGTGGTGACATTTTAAGGTTTATCTCCTTGAGAAGGTTATTATTCAATTTGGATCAATTTCTTCCCCTGCATCTAATGTCAGTAAATATCAGTGGGTAACTATTCTGAATTTATTCAAGAAGTTAAACATCATGTTACTGAAGATATAATTGTTACAAAACAGAAAGGATCCCCAAAATTTATGATGTTGCAAAAATATGAAAAAGTTTATTTTAAATCCCATAAAGAATTATTTTTGCTAGAATCATCAACTTTAAACTAGTTAATCAAAATCTTTAATGCATTGCTTTAAAAAAATAAATATTAATTACTTTTTAAATATATATGTAAATAGTTTGAACCTTTGCGCTTTTTTCAACTTCCGTAAATCAAATATCAATAAAAACTAAAACGCTCACTATTTAAAATATTATTATTACGTTTTAATACTTAAAATCTTTTAAATATTTTTAATATTCAAATGAATAAAGATGAGTCGTATAGTGTTGCATATATTGTCATTTTTATATTGAATATATATTCTACATAAAATATTATAAAATCTGCTGTAAATGAAAAAAAATGTTTAACTAACCAAAATGATCTCCATCTTCTGTATCCATGCTACCAGATCCAACAGAACTGGACAATCCTGGGGGTCTCTCCCTCACATCACCATCTTTGTGATTACCATGAATCTCAGAAGTGTGGGACAAGCCATCATCACTGGACAAGTCTTCTGATGCTGAATGAGACATTAAACCTCCTGCAATTTAAATACATACTTCCATTAAGATATGCACTCATTAACACATTTTTTTGCTCTATGTAACAGTGTACCAAAAGAATTATAAGGGTTTTTAAATTATTATTTTTAAAAATAAATAAAACAATATTTTTAAAAATGAAACTGGTTTTATGTGTTATAAAATGTTCCAATTATTTATAAGGTTTGATGTAGAAACAAGTAATTATTTTTATTTAGTATCACTTATCGTGGCTTACCTGATGGCTTAATGATATCAACAGCCTGCACCAATTTTTGTGGTAGGACACCATTTTCCAACTGCAATGCCTCTTCACAAACAGCCTCAACTAAAGGAATACATGCCGAGCGGATTGAATAGTTTGTATAATTGTCACTCAAACCTGTGAATAAAGTTGGATTGTTTTGCATAAATAATATGGACAATATATGCTGCATTGCTAGACAATGATGGATGAATAAATTAAAAACCAAGAGATATATTATGTGTTTGAAGACCCATCCATAGTCACAACAATTAAAAAATACAGACTGTGCTGGACAGGACACCGTGAGAGGATGCCAGATTGAAGAGCATCTAAAATGATCTACAGGAAGTAACCTGGCTCACCAGTCAACCAAGACTGAGATGGACTGACAATGTCGAAACGGACTTACATCAGCGGGGGGTACACAAATGGAGGCAGAAAGCCATGGATCCATCCGAATGGAAGGATGTGGTGGAGCAGGCCAGGGCCCTAAATGGACTGTAGTGCCACTAATAATGATGATAATTAAGGATAAAATCCAGAAATATGCGCTCTTTTTAAAAGAATACTTTTAGTTGTTTTTTAAAATAAAGACGGTGCAAAATTTAACTTAAATTTCACTACCAAATGTTGCAAAAATCCAAATTCAAGCATCAATTTTTTTTAGCTTAAGATTTTCTTGGATGCTTATTAGAAGGTGATTAACATCAGAAAAGTCTTTTAGCCTTTGAAAACACCAGTGTGCTTTTTTTTAAATTGTCTAAATAGACTTGTGTTAATAGTGTCATTCAAATGAGTTTGGAAGTTTTATGCTTAGATGTGAGCACATAGTGGTTGTGTGCATACACTTAAGCTAAGAATAAAATTTTGATAACACACCAGCCTGGAGAGAGATTCTCTGCATGATTTTAGTCAGGGTGCTGCTGCCCAGTGGTGCGTGGTCATACCACACATAGTCAGATTGGGACACATTACGTTTTGGTCTCTGCCAGAAAGCATCCGTCATTGGGTGAAGATGAGTCACATACTTCAAGAAAGATGAAAGTGGACACCTTGGATCTCCTGAAATATTAAAAATATAACAAACATCAACGGATAATCTTAAATTAAAGCCAGCATCACTTACTTTAGAAAATAAAGACAAAAATATCAAGCTACTTCATGAAAGTTTAAAACCTAATATAAATAAGCTCTTTGTATATATATAAATATAAAAAGAATATTTAATAACGTGTTATTTCTCCAAAGATATTATTACATTAATCATTTATTTTACAAAATAACATTTACACCAGTCTTGGTTTTTAAATTCAAATTAAGTTGTTTAAATTGATAGAAGCATCATAGCTGTAAAAAGTATAGTTATTTTAGTGTATGAAGCAAATTTATATTTCCAACCAATATGGTGCCTTCTTTGCACCGGGTACTTCAGCGTTTTTTATTGTAGATATTCCTTATTCTTAAGAAAAGCTGACCTACTGGACTGAGTCCATTTCCCCAAGCTTTTTACCCATATAATGGAAGGACTCCACAATTAGGAACACACTATCTCTTATCAATGAGAGATATTAGTTTACCTTTACACCACAGGACCAAATAAATTCTATTTAATCAATATTATTTAAATGTCTATGATTTATATAATTTTTTTTTTAATAAACAACATTAAACAATGTATATATTTATAATATGGCTTGCATTAATTATAGACAACATATGATTTTATGAAATTTTAGAAGAAACATGATCATATTACTATTTCAATATTTCGGTTTAAATTTACAAAGTTTTTTTTTAAAATGTCAAATTAAGATTAGCGGTGATTGAAATATAATTGGCTGAGAGTGTGGTTGATCTTAAATGTCTTTTATTTGAGCAAATAGTTAAACTGATAATAATAAATGTGATATATTTATACTTTACTTTATGTTTTTTCCTTGTAAAAAAAAAAACAAGGAAAAAACATAGAAAATGATTCACATTTTAAATTTTCTCTACCAGTTTGAATTGCTAAGACCATGCTATTTTTGGTCCCATCATATTTTTAATAGCACACAATATATGTGAATATTGACTGTTTATGATCACTCAGATCCCTTTCCAAAAAAATAATCTGTTTTGTACAAATAAGGGTAAATTCAGAGAACGCGGCCCGCGTTTATTTCCATGTGCGCACTTTTACGTCTTAAATCGATCCCTATGCCTAACCTGAACCCTAAATCTATCCCTATGCCTAACCCAAACCCTAAATCTATCCCTAAGCCTAACCCGAACCCTAAATCAATCCCTATGCCTAAGCATAACAAAGTCAACGTGGGCCACTAAATCTGAAACAGCCCAAATAAGTTATTTAATATGAAAATGAAATAATAACATTAATGATTAAATCATATTAAATTAAATAAAATATTGTTTAAAGAAAATGCTATTCAAATAAGTTTATTGAGGACTAAATTGATGAAATGGTATTTTGAAGTAAAATTATTAAAATGTAAGTTATATTATAATTAATTATATAGCCATTTCATTTAAATTTTAAATTAACATCAACATCATTTTAATTAGACCTTTTTAGGCATGGGCCCTATTAATATTATTATTAATACTAGAAGTCTCTAAGTAGTATTAACCTATTTATGTTAATTATTACTAGGCTATATTACTAGGCATCAAGTTATTACCATGTCCATTTTGATTAGTCTGATTAGGCTATTAGGCATAAATATTACCATGCCATGTCCAATATGATTAATAATGGGATCAGGCTAAGAGCATAGGCATAAGTATAAAATGTAGATGCAGAGAGATACCCAGACCCAGACCTCTTTTTAAGTTCAAGTTAAGCATCATAACATAAATAGCATTAGCATATCAATATCATGAATCATGTGCTAATCAGTAATGATGATAAACAAATAATAACTAACCTAACAATTTAAAGAACACACAAACAATGTGAGGCCTAATTATGTGCCTGTGAACTTACCAGGTCTCTCATACATTCTTTCGCCAACTTGGTAAACTGGGTGCTCGTCTTCTCCTCGTTTTAATTTTAATTTAGGAGGTAATTCCTCTTCTCTCGGCACGGAAGTATCTTTAAGCCACACATAGCGACGTCCATGAATATCTGTTGATACGTCGAAATCATTCTTCTTCATGTTCCGAAAGTAATCTTTTCCCTTGTTACATATGTAGAGGCTGATATCGAAAAACACCTTGTTTTGAAGGGAATCTGGTTTATTTGTATCCATAGCATCGCTCAAATAAATTTTCTTCAAATCTTCCATCTCGATTCGCATCCTGTGGCACTTGCGTGGGTTGGCTCGCAATGCCAGATCAAAAGTTGCGTTTGCCAGCTCGAAAGTACGATCACGCAAAATGTCAATGCTGACTTCTCCCAAGAAAAACTTATGAAGACCTGCTCGTAAGTCTTTCAGTGTAAGCGAGTCGTCATTTTTTACTTTTACTTTACCATAAAAATCTCGTAGAAAGTCCGCTAGCTGTGTACGACTCATATGCGTCACGGTGTGTATAGTGTGTCCTTTCGTCACAGCGAACTCGAGTAAATTTTGTGTGGCCTCAGTAATCAGTCCTTCTTCTTCTCCTGACAAAGTCATGGCCGACCCTTCTGTATCAGCTAACTTTGGGTTAGATACCTTTTTCCTAGACTCCATGCCATTCAGTTTCTCACAGTTATCCGGAGGTGACGGATCCATGTCGCAGAACCTGATGACGTCAATCAACAACAAAAGTCTGACTCTGACCTAACCGGTTTAGTTCAAACGACGGGGGCGACAGGTCTTACGACCAATCCAATTATTTTCTCCCGCTTGCATAATTGACATAGAAATTCAAAATATTTCCAATATGTCTTATAAATATTTCATAAGCACACATAAGAACAATGTCAGGTATCCTGAGATTAATATGTAATCAAGGTGATGGTGTAATATGAAAGCCAACTTCCCTGCTTGGGATTTGTTGAACTTCAATGCAAGCAGTCGTCATCCAATGAGTCAGCCCTAACCACCAACTTCCGGCGTACAAGAGGACGTCACTTGCCGCGGCTTCGCTAAGTTTTGATCGCTGGCGATCACGCGCTGAGCTGACGTCACTTCACATACGATTGCAAAATGTTGGCCTCGCAATCTTACTTCACTGTCTACACACAATACACATTGATAGTGGGATCCATGTAGCTTGCGCTTAGACTTAGGTGAAGTATTGTTTAAACAGGTACTAGCTTGAAAATCCCCCTTGCTACCTAGCTCTTTCTTTTCAAGAGACACTGCTATTTCTATATTATAATTTAATATGCAAAAGCAAATAATTGAATTGACTAAATAGAATAATAATAAAATTATAAATAATAAATATGGTTACTGGAATCAAATACAAATTAGTTATGACCTACACAATATGCCGTGCATTTGTTTTTAAAAAGTATCCATACAAAGTATTTAAATTATTTTAAAATATAACAATACAAGTTTCAACTATAATAAATGATGCTTTAATTATAAAATAATATTATTCATTATTTAAAAGAATGATCTCTGTGTTTGTGTGATAGCCTATATTTTCATTTTAAACGACCTGTCAACAGTCTACAGGACGTGAATTGAATTTATTATAAATTTAAATCTGTAACCTGAGTTCACTAAGACATTGAAGTAACCGAATATTCTTGCCATGGATTGGAGGTTTATAAGATTGGGAATTTCAAAATCGCAATCCTTTTAACGGTTGTGATTATCTGGTGTGGGCGGACCGGACAAAAGATCAGTGATTTTGTTATGCATTCAGTCGCGAACCTTGAGAGCAACTCATAACGTAAATATAGTTATGTGGCTCCTTAATTTCATACGGCGCAGCAATACAATTAGGTCATATTCACGGCAACACAGTTGGCCCCAACGTAGAGTCACCGATTCATTCATTCACAAATTCTGTGGAATTTCCCTTCGTGAAAAACCAACCATAGGCGGTGTGTGTGTACTTGGCATTCCGAACCTTCGCAAAATGGGTGGGGGCGGGATTTTTTGTTCTCTTCCTTTTCCCTTTGGTTCGCTTATTTAATTTATTCTGACCTTGGCTGAGGTTGTCCTCAATTCCCCGCCCTATCCAGGTAGTCTACAGAGCACCAGTTATTACGGGTCCGCCCATCGTGTTTTGCGTGTGTGTTTGTGTTAGTGTGATTAAGAAGTAAAACCAGTGTTTAGACGACTAGGAGTAGGCGAAACCGAAAAATCCATGGCAGAAGGCGGATTCAAAATATGACGTAGCTTGGGTAAATGGGGGGGGGGGGGATTAAAATGGGGGAAAAAAAAGAGAAAAGCGAAAAGGCTCGCGGGGGAGAGCGAGATTTACGCCTACTTTAAAATAGACTGACAAAACGGCAATACGAAGTAGTGAACTAGTAATAGTATTCAGGATTTAATTCCTAATCTTTTAATTAATACAGTATCGTGTTGTTGAGCGGTACTTACTGAGCTCGAATAAGACAGGTCGCACATAATATAAAGCAAATCATTCACTTGACTGTATAAGATTAAAATATTTTATGTATAGCCTAGTGTATAGGCCTATATAATAATATATTATAACGTATAGTCATAGAAATAGTGTAATATTATTAATATGGATTTATGGAAGGCTAGTGATATCGAATTGGCGACTGTTATTTGAATGCATCACTCAATGACTCATGACATGTTTGATGTTATTTCATGGACTCACGATAATTAAAAATGTACACTGAGAAAACTAAAACGAAAATAATTAATACCATTCATTCAGCATTCCTTAGAATTAGAATGGCGTGGGTACCGTACCCACTTGGATTATTTTTTGGCTACGACTATTCGGACCCAGGTACCAGAAGTGAGAGTTAGGGTTTATTAAAACATATTTAAAATATTATTGTAGGGTTTGTAAGACAAAATTAGGTATCGAATGAAAGATAATCGAATGCAGTGGCGTAGCGAGGGTGTTTGGCGCCCGGGGACAAGATCCATTTTAACCCTCTATTACGCAATTTTAGTTTTTTATGGAAAAAATTTTTTTGATGGCATACTTCATAGTTATTGGACTTAAATAAACATAATATGCAAGAAAAATAATTTTTTAAAATGAAATAATGATTTTATTGGTATGTTGCCATATGGCAACAGTGCGTCTTAAAGGTCAGAAAAGTAAAACTGAACAAGAAAAGGAAACGATAACAATAATATTTGTAAAAGGTGAATATTTAATCGTTTACACAAACAATGGTTCTCAGTACTTAGTTTACAAGCATATCTTCATATTATGCTTTTATATCATGAAAAAGATCATTATAAAAATCATATTTTATAAGCATTTTTTACACAAAAATATAGAAAATCATGTAATCAATATATAGAGCATATAGAGGGACAGTAAATATTTATATACATATGTGAAATGCAGGTTTAATGCTGGTGGAACTGTTTGAAGCAATGTCAACTTTACATTATGCACATTTTATTCTTGAAAATTCTTTTCAACCTGGTCTCTTGCATCTTCCTTTGTTTTCAAGTGGCTCAGGAAAGTGCCAAATATAATCAGCTCTTACTGGTAAGGGTGGAAAAGCTGCAATAGGACCACTCAAATTTTTAGCTGTAAGTTGAGGCTCTATATCCAATAAAGGACTGCCAAGTTTCCTAAACCCTGCTTTACCTTCTTTCATTAGGCATATGGCCATCTTGGTGTTGAAATCAAGTACACCGAGGATATTTTTTGTCGCGATTCGCATTAGTACAATCAGCCTATAGATCAGCCATGCCAGCACAACTGCCATACTGGTATCCAGAAAGTGGAATATTATACAGTGATACTATTTTTTGGACCTTACTGGTATCCTGTATACGGCCAACAGTGAAGCGAGAAGATCCACACCACCCATGAATTTATTGTAAACCATGATTACCGATGGACAAGTTACCTAGATTTCCCTTTTAGCCTTTTGTCCCATCTTTTGACCCGTTTCATGGGCTCAATAGCAGCAAATGTACTGAGTGTGGTTACCGCTCTATTGTCAACCCATTTGACTGGAAACAGATCAACACCGTCATGGTGGCAGGTTTTCAGAATTGCGGAGCCCCTTCCATTTCTTGCCAAGTCCTTATCTGAAGGCATTATGCAATTTTTAAGCCTATTAGACCTTACAGTGCCAATAGCTGCATGTCAGCTTCATCTCTGTGGTGTCAAAGCAAATTTCTTGCAAATAGTTTTGCCCGTGGTTGGATTGCAGTGTCTAAAGAATTACCAGGTGTGTCGTTAGTTTCACAGTCTGAGTCTGATATGGTTGAAGCTGAAAAGGGAAATTTTAAATATTATTTTTCAGTGTTTACTTTAACTTTTGGCTTGAATGTTATATAATTGTTTTTTTTTTAAATATTAGAGATTAAATGCAATTTAAAAAAGTATATGAAAACATACTTGTTGTGTTCTTGAGTCAAAGTTTCATCTATGTCATCATCGCGTGAAGATAGCTCGGAGTCCTCAGGAATAGAAGGAATATCCACATTTTTATTTTTTCCATAAAAGCATGATGGTTCCATGACTGCTTTGATGTTTGGATATTTGAATTCTAGAAGAAAAAAACATTATAGGAAACTAATAATTCCACACAAAAAATAACTTACAATATAGACTTATATCTTGTATAGTATCTATTCATTTTTTTTTTATAAAAAGAATTGTAACATTAATTTAAAACCTGTTAATTTGATCAAAATATAAAAGGATAACATTAATATTAGATATGTATAGATATTTCATAAAAAAAATATTATTCAGATAGCTTATAATAAATAAACTGATTATATATTGTATGTTGCCATTTGGCAACAAAAAAATAAACACAAAAAATTAACCACATCGACGCACTGTTGCCAATTGGCAACATACCATTTTTTTCGTATGTCATCCACCTATGATGACAAATATCAAACATAAGCTCATTTAATATCAGTTCAAACATTAAATTTAACATTCTTTATTTTTTATAACAGGAATTATCATTATGTGATATAAAAAAACAGCTTGTACTTACTGGATTCGGCGGAAAAAATTGTAGTCAACTGTGACCGTCTAAAATGTGTTCTTACATAAAAACTGCAAAGCGAAAGTGAAGAGTTCTTCAGGATAAAAGTTTGAAACCTCATAATTGAAAAGGGGAACCACTCCAACAAATTAAAAATTGGGCTTGCAGTACTAGCAGTAGTGTAATTTCGCTTTGTTGCCAAATGGCAACATTGCGTAATAGAGGGTTAAAGCGCTCCTTTTTCTTTTTTTCAACTCCCAAACCCATTATTTTCACCAATAAAATAATGTCAAAGCACATTTTGGCGCCCCTAATTAGCTGGCGCCCGGGGACATCTGCCCCCCCTTTGCCCCCACCATGCTACGCATCTGATCGAATGGACTATATTTTTTGTAAACTTACTTCCTCAGTTTAACTAACATGAACTACCACAAATGACAGCCGAATAGCATTTAGTGAACAGGGACCCGGACACGCATAGCCGCTATTCGGACCCGGGTCCCTTTAGACTAAATGCGATTCGGGTGTTATTTGTGTAGTTTATTTTAATTAAACTGAAGAAGTAAGTTAACAAACATATAGACCATTCAATTATCTATCATTTTTTGATACCCAATTTTGTCCTACAACCCAACAATATTATTTTAAATATTTTTTTTAAAATCCCAACCTCTCAC